AATGCGGATGGGCTTCGTGAGTTGATTCTAGAGGAGGCCCATATTTCCTGGTATTCTATTCACTCGGGCGCCGCTAAGATGTATCAGGACTTGCGGCAACATTATTGGTGGAGGAGGATGAAGAAGGATATAGTTGCATATGTGGCTCGGTGTTTGAATTGTCAGCAAGTTAAGTACGAGCATCAGAGACCTGGTGGTCTGTTCCATAGGATATAGACTCCCGAGTGGAAGTGGGAGCGTATCATTATAGATTTTGTTGTTGGACTCCCACAGGCTCAGAGGAAGTCCGACGCAGTATGGGTTATTGTTAATAGGTTGACTAAGTCACCACACTTCATTCCTGTGGCAATTTTCTATTATTCAGAGCGGTTGGCATAGATTTATATCTAGGAGATCGTTCATCTTCATGGTGTACCCATGTCTATCATTTCTGACCGAGGTACACAGTTCACCTCGCATTTTTGGAGGGCAGTACAGCGTGAGTTGGGTACGCTGGTCGAGCTAAGCACATCATTTCATCCTCAGACGGACGGACAGTCTGAGCGTACTATTCAGATATTGGAGGATATGCTTCGCACCTGTGTTATTGACTTTGGAGGCTCTTGGGATCAGTTCTTTCCATTAGCAGAGTTTGCCTAAAACAACAGCTATCAGTCGAGCATCCAGATGGCCCTATAAGGCATTATATGGTAGGCAATGTCGGTCGTCGGTTGGGTGGTTCTGGGAGAGGCTTGGTTGTTGGGTACAGATTTAGTACAGGATGCCTTGGAAAAGGTTAAGATCATTCAGGATAGGCTTCGTACAGCCCAGTCCAGGCAAAAGAGTTATGCCGCCCGTAAGGTTCGTGGTATGGCATTATGGTCAGAGAGCGAGTGTTACTTCGGGTGTCGCCCATGAAGGGCGTGATGAGATTTGGGATGAAGGACAAGCTAAGCCCTAAGTTCATCGGGCCTTTTGAGATTCTTCGGAGAGTGGGTGAGGTGGCTTATGAGCTCGCGTAGCCACCAAGTTTATCAGCAGTTCATCTAGTATTCCAAGTGTCCATGCTCCGGAAGTATCACGATGATCCATCCCACGTGTTAGATTTCAGCTCTGTCCAGTTGGACAAGGATTTGACCTATGAGGAGGGGCCGATGGCTATTCTAGACCGGCAGGTTCGTCAGTTAAGATCAAAGAGTTATCCTTCAGTTCGTGTGCAGTGGAGAGGTCAGCCTGTTGAGGCAGCTACCTGAGAGTTCGAGTCCGATATACGGAGTAGATATCCCCACCTTTTCCCCAGCTCAGGTATTTTTCTATGTCCGTTCAAGGACGAATAGTTGTTTTAGAGGTGGAGAATGTGATGACCCAAAAGGTCATCTTGTTATATAAAAGTAATTCTACGATTCCGAGGTCTTAAAAACCTCCTTTTATTTATCCTCGATTTGTGCACGCAGTCTGGGCACGATACTGGAAAGCTTTTATGTGAAATTTAACAAAAATATTGACATTTGTCTTTAAAATTGATTAAAGTTGACTTTGGTCAATGTTTTTGGTAAACAGACCCGGACCCGTGATTTGACGGTCCTGTAGGGTCCATAGTAAAATATGGGACTTGGGCGTATGCCCAGAATCGAATTCCGAGGTCCCTAGCCCGAGAAAAGAATTTTTGAAGAAAATTATTTAACTGAAAATGTAAAGGTTTTTAAAAATTGAAAAAGATTTGATCTTGTTGGTATCGAGCTCGTATTTTGGTTTCAGAATCCGGTACAGGTCCATTATGGTATTTAGACCCTATCTGTGAAGTTTGGTGAAAAACGGAGGTAATTTGATATAAATCGGACCTTTAGTTGAAAAGTTAGAAATTTTGAACTATCTTGAAAATTTCATGAGTTTTAATGTTAAATTCTTTGTTTAAGATGTCATTTTGGTGATTCGATTGCACGAGTAAGTCCATATGATATTTTTAGACTTGTGTGCATGTTTGGTTTGGAGCCCCGAGGGCTTGGGTGAGTTTCGGATAGGTTTCGGGATGTTTTGGACTTAAGATTTTCTGTTGTATTGCTGCTTCTGGTGTTCTGATACTTTGTTCTTCGTGTTCGTGGAAGAACTCTCGCGAATGCGAAGAGTAATTGAGTGTGAAGGAAATTTCCTTCTACGAGAACGCGAGGCACAGGTCACGAATGCAGAGCGTTGGGGCATTACCCTTTGCGAGCGCGACCTGGCTATCGCGAAAGTGAAGGCCATTTTTTGGCAGGGATCTGGGGAGGGGGAAATACTCTACGCGAATGCGGCGAATGGCTCGTGAATGCGAATGTCAGGGGGGTGAACCTTCGCGAACGCATACAGTATCTCGCGAACGCGACGGCTCTTCTAGCCAATGCTTCGCGAACACGAAGAAGACCTGTCCAGCGAATTAAAAACAGAACCTAGGTCGAGGTTTCTTTAAAATTTCATATCTCTTTCCCTAGAATCCGACCTTGGGCGATTTTTGAAGAGAAGTTTCAACACCAAATCATAGATTTAGGTTCTTAAACTCATTTCTTTCATTTTCCATCAACACCCATTAGATTTCTAGGCCTAAATCTTATTCTTCAAGGGTAGAAATTAGGGATTTGGGAAGAATTGTGGATTTTTCAAATTTGGGAATTTAGACCTCGATTTGGGGTCGGATTCCAAAACTAATTACATATTTGGGCTCGTGGGTGAATGGGTAATGGATTTTGTTCCGAACTTCGGGTTTTGACCCAGCGGGCCTAGGGTCGATTTTTGACTTTTTGGGGAAAATGTTGTAGAACCTATAATTAAGCATCGAAGTTGAGTTGTTTAGCATTTATTGATGTTATTGAATTGATCGTTGCTAGATACGAGTGGATTAGAGGTTGAATCGAGAGGTTAAGCGGTAATTGAGCTTTGAAATACCCGTTGGCTTGAAGTAAGTGCTTGGTCTAACCTTGACTTGAGGGATTAGAGATCCTCGACTTATTTGCTATGTGGAATTCCATGTGTGTGATGTATAGGCATGACGAGTACCTATGCACCACCAAATTATCATTTTAGCATGTTCCTTTCCCCGTTTCCCATTATATTATTTCTTGCCTTAATTGCTACTTGCTCATGATCATTTCCAAGTCTTAACTGCTACTTGCTCATAAATGCTTCCATGCCTAACTGCTTCATATTAACTGTTGTCCTCTTGTTTGAAGTATTTAATTGTTTCATGGTTACGTTTTATTACTCTATTGGCTTATGTTAGTTTATTGGTGCCTTATGGTACACCTTGGTTGGTCTTGCTGAGTAGCTGCACCGATGAAGTTTCATAATCTTAGTGATATTTCCATTGTGTGGATCGAGGTATAAGTGTTGTGGAGAATCTAAACTAACTTGTGAAACACTTGTCTTTATTTTCGTGTATGGTGGTGTTTATTATATTGGGATTGGGTTGCACGCCGCAACAAGAAGGAATAAGGGAGAACGTGATTGTCTGGTGGGAGCGGGTTGCACGCTGCAACAAGGAGCAATAAGGGTGGACAGGTGGGATCGGGTTGCACGCCGCAACAAAAGGGATAAGGGTGATATATATTGAGGAGTAATAAGGGTGGACAGGTGGGATCGGGTTGCACACCGCAGCAAGGAGGAATAAGGGTGAATATTGATACTGTTGTTGTTTATATGATGGGATCAGGATGCACGCCGTATCAGTTGGGGTTATGTATTCATTTCTGTTGAGGTTTATCATTGTGATATTGAAATACCCTTAAGGATTGGTTATAACTGAATACTAGTAGAACAGTTGGATTCCAGATTTATTTAATGCCAGTTATTGCTTTATCATATTCTATATTTCCTTTCTGTTTAATATATAGTGTTGCATGTGATATATACTGTTATGCCCCGCCGTAGCCTCGTCACTACTTCGTCGAGGTTAGGCTCAGCACTTACCAGTACATGGGGTTGGTTGTACTGATACTGCACACTACACTTTCTGTGCAGATTTTGGAGCTGATTGTGGCTTATAAGAGTTTGACGGTGCTGCCTTCAGTTCACAGGAGACCCAAGGTAGTCCTGTAGGCCCTGGCGTCCCCTTCTATCTTTACTGTATTCTGTTTTACATTTCCTCCGAAATAGATGTATATTTTCTTTCAGACCATTACTTGTAGTATTCGTAGACAGTTCTTGAGTTGTGACTCCAGTTCTGGGTGGTTTTCATTTCGATCTTTCGTTAATGTATAAAGTTAAGTTTTTAAACTGTTTTCTTCCGCACTTATTTTCGTTGATTCATTTTGTTAACTTTTAATTATTAAAAGTTCAAGGAAAAGGTGTGATACTTTGTAACGTTGGTTTGCCTAGCGGGTTCAATGTTAGGTGCCATCACGTTCATCAACCAAACAACTTGCCTCCATTTCCATCTCAAGGCCCTAGCTCGTCCAATAATGAGATGGGAAGGATTGAGTCAATGTTTGAGCAAATGATGAAGAAAAATGCCCACTCCGAGCCCAATTGGCGTCCCATAATACTTCTATCCGCAACCTAGAGGTGCAACTTGGCAAGATTTCACAAGCTTTAAACACTCTCCCTAAGGGGGCACTACCTAGTGACCCGGTAGTAAACCCGAAGGGTGGGAACAATAATGGCCATGCAATGTCGGTGACCACAAGGAGCGGTAGAGGTGGTGAAGCAAGTACCTCCTAGCGAAAGGAAGTGGTGAGTGATGATGTTGTAGTGCAAAATGATGATGATCAAATGGTTGATGGGCAAGTGAGTGAAGAGAAGTTGAATGGTGAGGTGAGAATTGATATTCATGACAATGAGGAGGAGCTCAAAATGATGTGAACCCATCTAGGGAACATGTGATAGACATACCGGAAATGATAGTACCCAAAGCCAAGGCTCCTTTGCCAAGGCCTCCTCCACGATATCCTTAGAGGCTAGCTAAACAGAACAATAAGAATCAGTTTAAGAAGTTCATTGATATGATGAAGAGCTTGTCCATCAATGTGCCTTTGGTTGAAGCTTTAGAGCAAATGCCGGTGTATGCCAAGTTTATGAAGGACTTGGTGATAAAGAAGAGATCGATAAACTGTGAAACTATCAAGATGACGCACCAAGTGAGTGCCATTGTACATTCCATGGCCCCAAAGCTAGAAGATCCTGATGCATTTACTATTCCATATACCATTGGGAGTGTGGATTTTGCAAAAGCCTTGTGTGATTTAGGAGCAAGTATAAATTTGATCCCATATTCTGTGTTTAAAACATTTGGGATTGGGAAACCTAGACCCACTTCTATGCGACTGCAAATGGCTGATAGAACAAGAAGAGTTCGCTTGGTATTATTGATGATGTTCTTGTCCGAGTTGACAAGTTTATTTTGCCTGCTGATTTTGTGATTCTTGACTGCGAAGATGACTATGAGGTGCTGATCATATTGGGGAGACCTTCCCTAGCTACAGAGAAGGCTTTGGTTGATGTGGAAGCAGGGGAGCTCACCTTCAGGGTGGGTGATGAAAAAGTTGTGTTCCCTGTCTGCAAATCAATGAGGCAACCCAATAGCAACAAAGTATGTTCCTTTGTTGATCTTGTGAACGAGGTGATCGTTGAAGATACTAATGTTGTGATAAATGTGGAGGACCCTTTGGAAGCTGTGTTGTTGAACTATGATGTAGAGGATAACGAAGGCTTGGTTGAATATGTCAATACTTTGCAAGGAATGGATTCATACACATATGAGCCCTAAAAACTTTCTTTGGACATTGAGAACCGGAAGACTCCACCAGCAAAGCCCTCAATCGAGGAGCCTCCCATATTGGAGTTGAAGCCTTTACCTTCCCACCTCAAGTATGACCTTGTTCCACTTTACCTGTTATTCTCTCTGCTTGCTTAACTACCGTGCAGGTATATGCTACTCTTGCGGTGCTTCAAAGAAGGAAGAAATCAATTGGATGGACTTTAGCTGATATTCGGGGGATATGCCCCGCCTTTTGCATGCACAAAATTATACTTGAAGAAGATGCCAAGCCCTCCGTGGAACATCAAACGAGGTTGAATGAGGCCATGCAAGAGGCCGTCAAGAAGGAAATTATCAAGTGGCTAGATGTAGGGGTTGTATACCCCATCTCGTACAGTTCATGAACTTCGCCGGTACAATGTGTGCCAAAGAAGGGGGTATGACTGTGATCACCAATGAGAAAAATGAGCTGATCCCCACTAGGACTATTATAGGATGGAGGGTATGCATAGATTACCAAAAGCTGAACAAAGTGACCCGCAAAGATCATTTTCCATTGCACTTTATTGATCAAATGTTGGATAAAATTGTTGGGTGTTCTTACTATGGGTATTCAGGATACAACCAGATTCTCATTGCATAGAAAGACCAAGAGAAAACCACTTTCACTTGCCCGTGTGGCACTTTTGCATTCGCAAGGGTGCCGTTTGGTCTTTGTAATGCGCCGACTACTTTTCAGCGGTGCATGATGGCAATTTTTACGGATATGGTAGAAGATTTTCTTGAAGTGTTCATGGATGATTTCAGTGTGGTAGCTGATTCTTTTGATGAGTGTTTGCAAAACCTTGACAAAGTGGTGGCTCGATGTGAAGAGACAAATCTAGTGCTTAACTGGGAGAAGTGTCACTTTATGGTTGAGGAAGGCATTGTCCTCGACCATAAGATCTCCAAACATGGGATTGAAGTAGACAAGGCAAAGATTGATATGATTGCACGACTCCCTCCTCCCACTTCTGTCAAGGGAGTTAGGAGTTTTCTTGGGCATGTAGGGTTCTACCGGAGGTTCATCAAGGACTTCTCCAAGGTGGTGAATCCCTTATGCAAATTGTTGGAAAAGGATGCAAAATTTGTATTTAATAATGAGTGAATGAAAGCTTTTGAGCTTTTAAAGTATAGATTGACTACCACTCCCATCATCACCGCACCCAATTGGAGCTTACCTTTTGAGCTCATGTGCGATGCTAGTGACGTTGCGGTAGGAGCGGTCTTGGGGTAAAGGGTGAACAAGATGTTTCATCCAGTTTATTATGCAAGCAAAACTATGAATGACGCCCATGTCAATTATACGGTGGCGGAGAAAGAGTTGCTAGTAATTGTGTTTGCGATGGAGAAATTTAGGCCTTATATCATGGGTACCAAAGTGATTGTGCACACTGATCACGCGGCACTGCGTTACTTGATGACAAAGAAGGATTCAAAGGCTAGGTTAATGAGATGGGTTCTTTTGCTTCAAAAGTTTGACCTTGAGAGTATTGATCAAAAAGGAAGTGAAAACCAAGTGGCGGACCACTTGTCCCGCTTGGAAGAGGAGGGGAGACCCCATGATGACCTCGAAATTAATGATTCGTTCCATGATGAACAACTCCTCTCAGTATCTTTGAATGGTATGCCTTGGTTCGCAGATGTTGCTAATTTTCTTGTGACCGGCATTGCACCGTGTGAGCTCTCTTCTAACCAAAGAAAGAAGCTTAAACAGGACAGCTTGGACTACTATTAGGACGAGCCATATTTTTTCAAGATTTGCAATGATGGTGTGATTTGTAGATGTATTCCGGAGGAGGAGCAAATGAGTATTCTTGATGTTTATCATTCCTCGCCCTACAGTGGTCATCACGGTGGGGCGAGAACTGCTTCAAAGGTTCTTAGCTGTGATTTTTATTGCCCTACTCTGTATAATGATGCTAGTGAACTGGTTAAGAGATGTGATGAGTGTCAGAGAGCTGGTGGGATTTCAAAAAAGGATGAAATGCCTCTCACTACTATTCTCGAGGTTGACATTTTTGACGTATGTGGCATAGACTTTATGGTACCTTTTGTGAGTTCATAAGGCAACACTTATATTCTGGTGGTCATTGATTATGTTTCCAAGTGGGTTGAGGCCATGGCTTTGCCCAACAACGAGGCTCGGAGTATGGTGGCATTTCTGAAGAAAAATATTTTCACACGGTTTGGCACTCCTCAAGCAATCATCAGTGATTGAGGTTCTCACCTCTACAATAGGGCATTGACACTTTGCTTGCAAAGTATGGTGTCAATCACAAGGTATCAACTCCTTATCATCCTCTGGCTAGTGGACAAGTAGAAGTCTCCAACAGGGAGATAAAGAGCATATTGTCAAAGACCATCAATGCAAATAGAACTGACTGGTCAAGAAAACTGGATGATGCTTTGTGGGCTTACAGGACTGCTTATAAGACGCCAATTGGTATATCTCTATACCGGTTGGTATTTGGGAAATCATGCCATCTTCTGGTTGAGTTATAACATAAGTCCATGTGGGCTATGAAGAGGTTAAATCTTGAGTGGGATGTTGCAGCAAATCTCCGGGTAGAGCAACTCAATAAACTTGATGAGTTTAAGTTTCATGCCTATTCCAGCTCGTCCTTGTATAAGGACAAGATAAAGTACTTACACGACAAATATGACAGAAGCAAGGAATTAAAGGAGGGTGATTTGGTTCTACTATTTAACTCTCGGTTACGTCTGTTTCCGGGAAAGCTCAAGTCAAAATGGAGTGGACCTTTTGAGGCGGTGCTTGTACCTCCGTTTGGTGATCTTGATTTGAAAAAGAAAAATGGTAAAATCTTCAGGGTTAATGGGCATCGAGTGAAGCATTATCTTGGCAAGTTTGATGATAGCCACGTGGTGGTAATGATCCATTTCAAGTGATTGAGGGTAACCTACATCGTGCCGTGACGTTAAATCAGGCGCTTCTTGGGAGGCAACCCATGTGTTTTTCATTTTCTTCTTTTCATTTTCTTTTTAGTATAGGATTTGTTTTGGTCTAACTGGTTGTAACATGTGTGTGGGAATATTTGATGCAGTGCAGGACAATACTGAGAAAAATTTGGCTAAGTCTGTAACTGGACCGCTGACCGCGCTTAAAATTTTGCAGTCAGCGGAAGCATTTTGCGGGGGCAAAATTTGGCAGCGGACGCGGACTTGAAAATTCCAAAATGAGACTTCTCTGAAGTTTCATTCGCGTCTGCGGTGGCTTTTTCGCGATCAGCAGACCTATTCCGCGGCCGCGCCCTTTTTTCGCTCTCAGCTGTGGTATTGCACAGACAACTCTTCAACCCAGGTAAAAGCGCGGACCATGGTGAAATTCCGCGGTCGCGCCAGGTAAGACTTGTGGGCCCCTGTGCTATTTAATATAAATAGAAGGTCCTGAGACCTTTTACCCTTTTTCGCTCCTTGCTCTCTCAAAAGAAATTCTTACAGTTCATCGTCTTATCTGAGCCCTAATCTGCACAATACCAATTAGAAGTCAATCTCCATCACTCATCAATCCACTGGTATGCCTAAATCATCACATTGCTTTTTAATTTTTGTCCTTTTCTTTTCCCTTAGTTTAGCTTCTTTTCTTTTTTTTTTAATTATTATTATTAGGGTTTGCTTAATCCACATAATATGGGCATTGAAATTAAAAATCCATGTGATCACCTGTTAAGTAGGCTTAATGAGGGGTAGGGTTGTTCGTTCTAGCAATTGATAGCCTAATTTGTATGCTAAGTAAGACACCTACAGTTGCTCATTTGATTTTTGAATTCTGCGGCCGCGGATGTAATTCTGCAGCCGCGGATGTAATTCCACGGTCAATATTCTTGTGAAAGTGATTGTCAAAAATGTTGTAAATTCCGCTCTCAACGGTGGAAAGACCGCTGTCAACGGACCTATTTACGCTGAGGCGCTTCATTTTCCGCGGTCAGCTGTTTTTCCGCCGACAGCGGTTCAACTTCCACTGTCGCGCCCAAAATTCCACGCTCATCGATTCTTTAGATTCAGAGGATGGGTAGTCTGATCCCTATTCCTCTGTGGCCGTGGCCTTTTTTCTACTGTCAGTGGTAACCATTCCACGACCACCCTATCTTTTCACTGTCAGCGAATCTCTGTTTGTGAAGCACTGCCAACTTTTCTTCTATTTTTCTTTACTGATTCTTTTAGCACCAATACTAATGATGTTTCACTGATTGTGTTTGCAGACAATGGTAAAATCTAGAGGTGAAAGTGAGAAACAAAAAGGGAAAGTAGAATCCTCCCGGGGTAGGGGACGAAGACAAATCAAGTTACCCCTAGCAATATGAAAATCCATTGGGAAAATGCGGAAGGCTATCAAAGCTACGGACAGAGCCGCATCCCATTTCGAGGGTAGTGACTATGTCCCTTCCCGAGAAGCATCAGAGGGTAATTCTGTACCTACTCATGTCCCGGACTTCCCAGGGAGGTTTCAATTGAGAGACGTGCCTACACCCCCAGCTTCACCTACTTCACCTACTTCTCCTGCTTTTTCTGAGTTGTCTGATGGCTCAGAAGAGAGTAGCGAGTCTTCAACATCAACCTCTCCACCTAGATAGGAGCCAATTGATATAGATGCTGAGATACCGTGACGGGAGGGGTGGTGACACCCAGACTAAAGGATTGGAAAGGACAAGGAACCCGATGGTTTGGCAGGCAAGATTTGAAAGTGAGAAAGCCTACCATAAATTCCGGGAGTGGTGGACTCAAAGGTCACTCATACTTGAGCGTCAATTTATAGAAAGGGATCTTCTTCCCCACAACCCCAGTGTGAAGCACCAATTTGAAGAAAGAGTGGGGTGGAAACACTTTACAAGCAAGCTGTCGGATGCCAATGAGCACTTAGTCAAGGAGTTTTATGCCAATGTCGCCCACATAAAAAAGGGCACATTTGTGACTAAGGTGTGGAACCTGAAAATCAAATTTGATGGTAA